CATAATAATCAAAATGAGAGTTGCCACAGGTGTGGAGTGAACGGGCACTGGTCACGTGCCTGTCGTACTCCAAGGCACCTTGTGGATTTATATCAAGCATCCGTCAAGGGAAAAGGAAAAGGGAAAGAAATCAATTTTACTGATTTTAGCAACACCAAGAATGACCATATTGATCCAATGGACCTTACCCATTTGGATGTTGCTTATTTCTTTCCCGCGCCAAGTGGAGATATTGATGGAATTAAATTTCGTGGTGATGATAACAATGATGGCAACAAATAGATCAATCAGGATTGATCAAATATTACATTTATGTTACATTTGAGTTAAATAATGTTTATCTTTCCATTCCAAATGAGTTCGAAATAATTTTTATGTGTGGTTGGTGGTTTGATTGATATAAGAAAATAAATTTTATTATATCTTCTTATATTACTTATTTTATTCCCAGAAAAATGGAATATAATGAGTCCGTGAGCAACCTGAACAATGGAGACATTTGTTTGGTTGACAGTGGAACAACACATACAATTCTTTGAGATCAAAAATATTTCTCGAGTTTGAAATTGGCAAAGGCAAGTGTTAGTACAATTTCTGGTACTACCAAACTAATTGATGGCTCCGGAAGAGCTAATATTGTTTTGCCTGGTGGAACGAATATTTTGGTCAAAGAGGCTTTGTACTCTAATAAATCCAAAATAAACTTATTAAGTTTCAAGGACATACGTCTCAATGGATTTCATATCGAGACTATGAATGAGGGGAATATGGAATTCCTTTGTATTACAACCAATATTTCATGCCAGAAGCATGTTAAAGAGAAACTCCCAGTTTTCTCATCAGGGTTGTATTATGCGACTATAAGCGCAATATAAACAAATATTGTGATGGACCAGAAGTCCAATGATCCGAAACTTTTCTCTCTTTGGCACGATCGACTTGGTCACCCAGGATCGACCATGATGCGTCGAATAATAAACAATTCATATGGGCATACTTTAAAGAACCAAAAGATTCTTTTGCCCCATGAATGTGTGTGCATTGCATGCTCACAAGGGAAATTGATTATAAGACCATTTGAAATGAAAATTAGTAGCGAGGCTCCAATTTTTTTTACAAAGAATTCAAGGGGATGTTTGTGGACCTATAGATCCACCTTGTGGACCATTTTGCTATTTTATGCTTCTATTGGATGCATCATCTAGATGGTCACATGTAAGTCTATTGTCAACACGTACTGTTGCTTTTGCTAGACTTCTTGCTCAAATCATAAGATTAAGAGCTCAATTTCCCGATTATCCTATCAAGACTATTCGTTTTGATAATGCCGGTGAATTTTCATCTCAAGCATTAAATGATTATTGCATGTCAATTGGTATTGATATTGAACATTCAGTTGCCCATGTACATACTCAAAATGGACTTGCAGAGTCCTTTATTAAGAGATTGCAACTGATTGCTAGACCTTTGCTTTTACAGTCTAATTTACCCACTTCTATTTGGGGATATGCAATATTACATGCTGCTTCATTGGTCAGGATTAGACCAAGTTCATTTCAGCAGCATTCACCGTTGCAACTTGTTTCTGGCCAGCAGCCAGACATTTCTCACTTAAAAATATTTGGTTGAGCTGTTTATGTTCCAATTTCTCCACCTCAGAGAACAAAAATGGGTCCCCAAAGACGACTTAGAATTTATGTTGGTTTTGATTCCCTGTCTATAATTAGATACATTGAACCTCTGACGGGTGATTTGTTTAAGGCAAGATTTGTTGATTGCCATTTTGATAAGACAATTTTCCCGCCGTTAGGGGGAGATAGATCGTCGGTTCGGATTGAACGGCGTGAAATTACATGGAATGTACCGTCCTTGTCTGTTCTAGACCCACGCACAAATCAATGTGAGAAAGAAGTAAAAAGGATAATCTATTTGCGAAATATTGCAAATCAATTGCCGGATGCTTTTACTGATATGAAAACGGTAACAAAATCTTATATACCCGCTATAAACACTCCGACACGGGTTGATGTCCTTGAAGGACAACATAAAGAGATAATGAAACCTCGCATGAAGCGTGGGCGCCCTATTGGCGCAAAAGATAAGAACCCTAGAAGGAAAAGGGTAATAGAAGTAAATTCTCCTGAAGAGAATATTATCTGTGAACAAGAAAGCGCTATGAAAAATGTGAGTGATCAGTCTAAAGTACGTGATGCCCCTAGAGAGGATCATGAGAAAGAACTTATATCCGAAGAGATATCTTTAAACTATTTGAATACCAGAAAAAACTGGGATAGAAATAAAGTTGTTATTGATAATATTTTTGCCTATGGGGTTGCAACTGATATTGCAAATGAGGACCCCGAACCAAAATCTGTCGAAGAATGTCCACATAGAAATGATTGGCCAAAATGGGAAAATGCTATTCAAGCTGAATTAAATTCCCTTGAAAATAGTAAAGTATTTGGACCAGCAGTCCTAACACCGGATGGCGTAAAACCCGTTGGATACAAATGGATATTCGTACGAAAACAAAATGAGAAAAATGAAATCGTGAGATATAAAGCACGATGAGTTGCACAAGGTTTCTCACAGAGACCCGGAATTGATTATGATGAAACATATTCCCCCGTGATCGATGCAATTACGTTGAGATATTTGATTAGTTTAGCAGTCACAGAGAGGCTTGACATGCGCCTTATGGATGTTGTTACTGCATATCTATATGGATCATTAGATAGTGATCTTTATATCAAAATCCCTGAAGGATTTAAAATGCCTGAAGCATTTAAACGAAGGTCTCGTGAGTTATACTCAATTAAGTTGCAACGATCCTTGTACGGTTTAAAACAATCTGGAAGAATGTGGTATAACCGTCTAAGTGAATACCTTGTTAAAGAAGGGTATATAAATAATCCAATTTGTCCTTGTGTTTTCATCAAAAGATCTAATAGTGGATTCGCTATTATTGCGGTTTACGTGGATGATCTAAATCTTGTGGGAACTCCTGAAGAGCTCACTAAGACCGCAAACTATTCGATGAAAGAATTTGAGATGAAAAGTCTCGGAAGGACAAAATTTTGTCTCGGCCTGCAGATCAAGCATTTGTCCAATGGAATCTTCATCCATCAATCAACATATACATAAAAGATTCTAAAACAATTTTACATGGATAAATCTCATCCTTTGAGTAGTCCAATGGTTGTTCGATCGTTGGATATAAAGAAAGATCCATTCCGCCCTCAAGAAGAGAATGAAGAATTACTTGGTCCAGAAGTACCTTATCTTAGTGCCATTGGAGCACTAATGTATCTTGCAAATAACACTAGACCTGATATTGCTTTCTCGATCAACTTATTAGCAAGATATAGCTCTGCGCCTACTAAAAGATATTGGAATGGCATTAAACATGTATTACGCTATCTTCGTGGAACAACTGATATGGGTTTGTTTTACTCAAACAATTCAGATTCTCAAGTAGTGGGCTATGCAGATGTCGGCTACCTTTTTGATCCATATAAAGGCAGATCTCAAAGTGGTTACGTTTTTATTTGTGGTGCTGCTGCAATTTCATGGCGTTCAGTGAAACAGACATTGGCAGCTACTTCGTCAAATCACTCAGAAATTCTGGCATTGCATGAAACCAGTCGCGAGTGTATATGGTTGAGATCAATGATTCTACATATTCGAGAAAATTGTGGGCTGACTTCAATACGAGACACACCCACAATACTTTACGAGGATAATGCCGCTTGTATTGCACAAATCAGAAACGGCTACATTAAAGGTGATAGAACAAAACATATATCACCCAAGTTTTTCTACACTCACGAGCTACAAAAGAATGGTGATATTGACGTTCATCAGATACAGTCATGCAACAACTTGGCAGATTTATTCACTAAAGCACTGCCAACTACAACGTTCAGGAAGATGGTCCATAGTATTGGAATGCGTCGACTCAAAGATCTCTAGCCGACATCAGGGGGAGCGTGATCATTAACTCTCACACACTGTACTCTTTTTCCTTCGTCCAAGTTTTTATCCCACTGGGTTTTTCTTGGCAAGGTTTTAACGAGGCAGTGTCTCACGATCGCAAGCTTCACATGGATGTGTACTCTTTTTCCTTTGTCCAGATTTTTCCCATTGGGTTTTACTGGCAAAGTTTTTAACGAGGCATATTCCATTAAGATTGACATCCAAAGAGGAGTGTTATGAATGCATTCAATATGCATTTAGTGTGGATGTCAAAAACGCAAGAGTTTAAGTGGGCTTCATTAATACTTCATATATTCAATATGCTACTTGAGAACTATAAATAGATGACATTGTAATGGATTTAAAACACACTTGAATATACAAGAAAGAATAAGAAGAAAATGTTCTATTATCCTTACATTTGATCTCTCATATTCTTGTTTTACTTGAGTTTCTTTAGTATATTTATAATAGTACTATGGGTTCTCACTATTAACCCATTTTTTTATTGATCTCTTGTCTCTCCACAATTGGGGAATAAGAGAATAAGAAAACACATGTCAATATTAATTAAACTCCACCCTACCCACCCACCATCGCCAATAACATAGTCACAAACACTCGGCCGGCCCTAAGCTTCGTGCCTTTCAACATCAGTCTGATTTCTTGTAGATCTGCGTTTTCCTTGAACCCCATAAAGAAATAATTTCAAATTCTGCAAAAATTCTATAACATGCGTAAGTTCGTTTGTAAGTTTTATCTCTTGAAAAACCAAATCTTTTCTTTTTTGATGATGAAATAATAAAAGTTTTTTCGCAAAACCGGAGTTTTGCCGGTTTCAGTTTTCGGGTTGAACCGGGCGGGTTATCCGGTTCCTGACATCTGACCCAGATTTGTCATTTTCTGGTTTAGGACAATGAATAGAACCCGGTTTAAATAGAACCGGAGTGAGGAATCAAGATGGTAGAAGTGCCACGTCAGTGATGCTATATTTATCTTACCCCAAAATTTGGGGTAATTGAATTAACTGAAATCAAAATTGCAGCATCGAGGGAAAGAAGAGAATCTTCTGCTCGACCGACTGCTTCTCCTTGCTCATTTTTCATTTTTCAGTCCAAGCAGTTTGTTAAATTAGGTCTCTAGTAAAATATATAAAGTAGAAGAGAGAGAGAGAGAGAGAGAGAGAGAGAGAGATTGAGAATGCAAATATCGGGCGTATTACCAGACGTATTGGCCTGTAGCTGCTGGTCGCCGCCGGAAGGGAAGCCTTACTGCTCCTTCTTCGACGCCAAGTGCTTCTTCTTTCCTGGATTTTCTAAAGTAATACGCTGATTTTATGTAATTTTACTATTTGCCAATACGCTGATTTTCAGTAATTTGATGTTGTTTTGATTCTTTAGCCTTTAAAATTTCTGCACAATTGATAGATTCATGGAAAAAAAATATATGTCGTGGGTTGCTGCCAGGAACGAAAGTAGTTGTTTCGGAGGACTGGAATTAAGGGAATTTAGTTTTGATTTAAATTAATAATGCCTGGGGAATTAACTGATTCTGAGTAGAGCAAACTGTGAACTGAGTTAGTGGCTGATTATTTTATGGATGAAGTTAACTTTTTGTAATACCCATATATATATATATATATATATATCCATTCCCTTGAAACGGTTCGAGTATAAGATGAAATAATGATATAGTAGTAAAAATTGTCTTTAGCTTCTTAATACCACTTGTCTATGGCATCAACCTTTTTGATCAAATGTTTGAATATGTAGGTGTGTAGGTTTCCATGTTGATTATAAAATGATACAGTCCTCCTCAATGTATGTATCAAATTAAGAATATATTTATTTGGTGACTGTATAGAATTGGTCATCTCGAAATCCAAAGTTAGAGGTTGGGCTGGACAAGTTGAGAACAAGAAGTTTTACAGTGAGAGCTTCGGGAAATTCAGACGGTGATTTGGTCGAGGAGAATAAAAATCCTGTGCAGATGGAATCGCCGGTTGGTCAGCTTTTGGCTCAAATTCTGCAAACTCATCCACATTTACTTTTGGCAACTGCCGAGCAGCAGCTTGAGAATCTCCAGAGCGAGAGGGAAGCTAAAGATGATTCTTCTAAAGATCTCCTCCTCTATAAGTAAGTTTGTCTTTTTTATTTATTTTATTTATTTTTTTTTTAATTTATGTCTGCTATTTAATATAATAACTATACTGTCATATATGCTTTTAGTCTTTGCAAAACTAACCCCTTGCTACTATAATCCGAGAGACAACTTTGACTTTGCCTCATGTTTTTTGATTGTTTGTGGTTGTGATAGACAAAATGGACTTATTTTTTTGCCATATTTATTTTCCAGTTGTAAGGGAATTCCTCTCTGCGGATAGCGTAGTTTGGTCTTGTTTTTTAGGTTCTAACTCTATGGAATTCAAAAGCTTTGTATATGTCAATTCTCCAATCAATTGTTCAGATGGATAACATATTACTCAATGGTACCATCTGCTTTAGAGATTACCCTCTAATGCAGGTGAGGAACTGAAGAAAATGTATGCACTTTGTGTGTGTGTGTGTGTGGGGGGGGGGGGGGGGGGGCCCTAAATTGGTCTCTGTTAAATATACAAACACCAAAGAGTATAATTCCTCAGACAACAAACTCTCTGATGATTTCACATCAAAAGGACTACATGAGTAATTTGATATATACTCATGTTTTTGTTCTCGTGTTAGTTGTTTTAAGTTGTGATGAATGCTTCTTGTGTTGGTATTTCAGGAGAATAGGTGAAGTGAAAGAGAAAGAAAGAAGGAAAATATTGGAGGAGATCCTATATTGCTTGATTGTGCAAAGATTTGTTGAAAACAATATATCACTGATCCCAAAAATAATGGCAACTTCAGATCCTGCTATAAGGGTGGACTCTTGGCCAAACCAAGAAGAGAAGTTGGAATCTGTGCATTCAGCAGAGGCATTTGAGATGATATTGAGCCATTTAGCTCTTGTACTTGGGGAGAGGGTTGTCGGGCCCCCGGATACAATTATACAGATGAGTAAAATCAAACTTGGCAAGCTTTATGCTGCTTCAGTTATGTATGGCTATTTTCTCAGACGAGTTGATGAAAGGTATCAACTCGAAAGATCTATGAACACACTTCCTGAAGGTTTTGGTGAATTTGAAGATCGGGTGAGATTTGAAGAGCCCACACCAGATAAGCAGCAGTGGGACCCAGATTCTTTGATACGGATCTATCCAAATGAAGATGGTGAATATGGAGCAAGTACAGTTGAAGATTCTTCTACCAATGAAGATAAATCATACAAATTGAGATCATATGTTATGTATTTGGATGCAGAAACACTTCAGAGATATGCAACCATAAGATCTAAAGAAGCAATATCTTTGATTGAAAAACAGACACAGGCATTATTTGGAAGGCCCGATATTAAGGTTACTGAAGATGGCTCACTTGATGCATCTAATGATGAAATCGTTTCTCTTACTTTTTCCGGACTTACAATGCTGGTTTTGGAGGCTGTTGCTTTTGGATCTTTTCTATGGGATAATGAAAATTTTGTCGAGTCCAAGTATCCTTTTATTAACAGCTGAATCTACCTACGTATGCACGTGCTATTTTATTTCCCATGCTAGTATGCTTTTCTTTACGCTTTGTAAATTTTTTTGTATTTTTCAGAATCTTGTTGTGTGTGCCATTCGACTGTGGTTTGATCTTTATTACGGATCCCACATAATTTAATGACCGTGTTCAGCTAGGGACGAAAAACTAGTCATGCGTTGATTATGATTTTTTGTTGATTAATTTTTTTACATTATTGCTCTGTGGTACTTAACAATTAACATCATTGATAAACAGATGCAGACAAATAATATTTCAACTTAAAGACTTGGGCAATACTTTCAGTATTTCCCCCAAAATAAATTAGTGTTTCTTAAGGTTTCAAAAAAAATTAAAATACTATTACTATTATCACGGTTATTAAAATCGTACGATTTATGATTCAAATTGTACTATTTGATTCGATTTGAACTCTTTTTGATTCAAATTGTTGAATAAATCGTATATTATCAAAATCACACGATTTTAGATTCAATTTGTACGATTTGCGATTCGACTTGTACGATTTCAGAAGAAAAAATATTTTCAGAATAAAATAAAAAGATAAGCTAAAATGAATATATATATATATATATATATATATATATATATATATATATGTGTGTGTGTGTGTGTGTGTGTGTGCACATAAATGTCTCATATATATGTGTGTATTAATACGATACAATGTCTCATAAATGTGTGCACATCATTTAAGTTATTAATATTTATGACATCTTAAAGAAAAAATTAAAAAATTCTACGATGTACGATTCGTTACGAGTTACGGTTTAATTTCGACAAAACGATATTCGATTCGATTCACGATTTGATAACCATGACTATACTATTACTGTTACTATTACTATTACTATACTATTACAAGGTTTAAAAACCGGAAATCGGGTCGGAGGCGGTTAGCACCGACTCACGATTAATCGGTGTGGCGGAGATTAATCGACGATAAATGGGTTATTAAAATTTAGGGGTCTTAAGATATGAATCCCTAGTGAAAAAACTTTTTAGATGCTACACCTAAGTTCAATTAAATATTTGTTTCACATCCTCTATTAAATTTCTACCCATACTACCCCTACACTCCACTAACGGCGTTAATGCATTAATTTGGAAACACAAATGAAATCCCATCAATCTCGGCACGATAATTATCGCCTGCCCACCAAATTACCCTATTTCCTCAATAAAGTGCCCTACATTTTTCTCCTGATTTTATTCACCTAATGCCATCGTTGATGAAAATTTCCAAATAACACTATCAATTGTAATCAGAAAATAAAATAATATATGTATATATATATATATATATATATATATATATATATATATATATATATATATATATATATATATATATATATATATATATATATATATATATATATATATATATATATATATATATATATATATATATATATATATATATATATATATATATATATATATATATATATATATATATATATAGACACACAGACACATATGTGAATATATATATATTTGTGTCTCTATCGAATCCAAAATCGCAGTGGATATGCGGATGAAAGCAAGGCAAGATATTAACGTATTAGACTTTGGTAAGAATCGCATTTATTTGGTAATTTGATAGAAATTTAAATGATAATATGGATGACTATGACTGTGTACAAAATTGGGCACATATTGTGTCAAACTAACATTTACATGCATTCATCCAAATTATATAGAACATTGCAGTAATAGAAAAGGTTCGGCATTAAGTTTAAGATGAATTTTGTTGTATTAACAATTGATGTTATTTGGTTGGTTGGTTCATGTTTACTAGTCGGGTATCTATGGATTTCTATGAATTATGTTGTATATGCATTTATGTTCTTTCTACTGTCTAACAATAGGAGTACATATGGTTGTCTTGTTGATTAAGCAGACAATGTAGACATTTTTAGAAATATTGGGTCTGCATAGACAATGTATATCATAGACATGAGAAGTATTGTAGAGTTTTTACAAAATTGCAAGTTGGATTGAAATTTTACTCATTTTGTTTGGTCTTTTATATGCTTCATTTTCTCCCATGTGCAATTGTATGCAATATATGTAGTTAACATTAGGCGCATTTCATAAAAAATGAAATTCGAAATTCGTAGGAGATATGTGGTCGAAATCGAAACCCGATATAAACACATTACACGCTGGTACGAAACATAATTTCGTGCTGCCGGTTTGATTCTATATTGTTAGATATTATGGGTAACTATAAGTGTCTACGAATTCTGTTAGTGTTTCAAAGAAACAAAGTATGTGGTAGTTTAAACTACATAAAGAACTGTAGTCATTTTCTATTAATCTATGTTTGTATGATGTATATGTGTTCCAAAAAAATAACTTTGGTTAACTACAGATATCTGTTATGTATATAACTTACTGAAAAAAAAAATGGTTGAACTGGCCAAATATTAAGGTATATATATGTGGACATTTATGCTTGCTGTACAATGATCATGTTACATGATGACAGAAGAAAGCGTTGAATCTCACTCATAAACAACGAGACCAAGGTGGATACAACTCTCCAGTAGTCCCCCATTTAGTGTGACCAACATGTTCTTCTCAGGTTCTACAAAGGAGTTCATAAAATGGTGGATGTTCAAGTACTCCGACGACATACGACATAGACAATATGAAACAATATGATTGGCCTCGTGGCATAACTAAATTCTTGCACAAATCCATCCGATATTTAGAACCTGCAAAAGTTATCGGCCGTGTACCTTTAATCATGGTAAGAATTCATTAAGAAAATATAGTAAATCATAGTCTTTGATAGTATACTATAGGCAATCATAGTCCATTACTGTATAACATAGATAATCACTATCTTTTCTGTTTAACAATCCACTTGCAACTTATGTCAAAAAACTGCTAATTGATGTTTAATATGTAACTAACAATTGTTTCTTCTTGTTCTATTTGCAGTACTCGATATGCGAGCGTACCACACCGTTCACCCCCATCGAACCAAATGCATTCCCCATTATACGAAAATGAATGCACCAGACCTAGCAAAGTTGTTGAAAACCAAAGTAAATGAGCACGCACCGAGAACAAGAAAATGAACATTTATTTCTAAGGGACCAGAGTATTGGATACGAACAATGAAGAAGAGCATGGTTCAAATATTGACCATAGAAGTGATAATAGTCGTTTCTAACAAGTGTTATTTTGATAACAATGTCGTGTCCAAAGAGTGGGGACAAGGAGTGACTGTTCTGATAATTTTCCTCGAATTGTTTTCCATAATTTTCCAGATTTTTTAATCAAGTATAATTATTCTTATGTTTGATAAAAAAAAAAATTATTAATTCAAGTTAATTCTCACTGTTTTGACCAAATTTGTAAGCGTAACATAACGAAAAGTATTGATATCTATGACCGTCCACTATTACTACGGTTTAGTAGAACAATTATACAGATATGGAATAAAAAGTATTGATTATCTATTACTGTTCACTATTAAAACAAGCACAACTTAAATCAAGAACTACGTACAATAAAGCAAAATGCATACAAACTCATAAAACCATTAGAAAATGCATACACCAAAAACATAAACTCATAAGTAATCCAATAGCAAGTAACTTCATCCCATAATCTTACAACATGTCAAACAAATCAGTTTCATCGATGGCAAATATAATAATTGTAAAAAATAAACAATTGAAAATACATATACAAATATGGAATAAACATTCTCCAACATAACATTAACAAAATACAAATAGTCATTGTACATGGTTTCCTAGTTATGATTCTCAAGTTGGTTACACCGGGTACACTTCACTATCCTTGATCTCCCCCTTGAAGGATTCCTCTTCGTTTTTTCAGCCTACAACGTTTAGGCTGGTACTCAAGAGAATCAATAACAACTATATGAAGGTTAACATTGGGTCTTGAGAAGGGGTATATCGCTTGAGTATAACTTTGTTTATACAACGAAACATGTAAATAGGCATCCTCATAATCATATCTCACCTTGCTTCATTTGAATAGCACACAAGCAGTATGAACACGAATATATATTAAGATAACCATATAATTATATCCTATATTAAGATAAACATGTAAGTAGGCATCTTGAAATTCGGTGCATTCTACACGAATATATCATTAAGATAACCATATAATTATATCCTATATTTTTGTACAATCATCAACCTAAAACACAATCACATAATTCTACTATGACTATAATATAGTATAAATCTAATATTATATTAAATGATTACGCAGTACTCTATTATATGACATAACAATCAACAACATAAAAGCACAACTAAAATCCACAGCGAGATTGTCCATGTACATTTTTCGACAATTTCTACAAACATCCCTGATAAATAATTTAGCACTATCATATAAAATAAGTTTACAGTCGGGGTAATATTTCTACCATTCTTTATATGCATACCAAAAAAATCTTATATAAATATTAACATAATACAAAACAATAACAATTGAACAAAACATAATTCATTTCACATTAACAAAAAAAAATGCAAAAATCTGGATATTGCTTCATCACGAACGAAGTTGTTCTTGTCAGATGAAATCTTCCAAAATTTTCTAATATACAGATGAATATTTGATTATTTCCTTTTACGCCCGTATATGAGAAGCAATTTAAAATAAAAATAAGATATATATAATCTGCTAAAGATTAATATGAGATCGCTGATTATACGGGATGTGATAATTTCCAAACCCACGTAATTGTTGAACGTAAACTCACCTTCTGTCAAATTGAAGGGCACACATGAGATAGAACAAAATAAAAGGCTGTATTTCCAATATATCACCAAATAGGGATTTAGCTCAAGAAAAATTATTAGGGTCGTATCCTACATCTAATTAGGTTTGGTTTGAGGGACCTCCAGCATATTAACCCTAAAATTTAATTTAATATATTTCTAGATATTATTTATAAATACTCAAAACATATATAAAAATATATTTAAACATAGTAATATGTCCATCATGTATATATTCTAAGAAAATAATAATAAGATCATAATATAGAAGAACTTCGATAAATTAATACTCGATAAATTAATAACCTCGATTAAATAATTGTTTCTCTCGGTCCCGACTCGGTGAAAATGTGTTCAATTATTAACTCGATAATTTAATAATTCGCTAAATTAACAGAATTTCT